ATAAAATTAGACTGTCAAAACCAATGAGCATAACTAATTTTCAATATTATGAAACTACTCCTTCTTAAGTTGTGATTACATAATACAAATGATTGGGGAAAATCAATATCAGCCGTGTACACTTCAAACAATTAAGTTCTAGCTCATTATATCATATTCTTAATCATAATTTATTATGTTTTATTTACACATTAAAATCATTTAGTTGGGTTATTGTTTCCCAACCTCCATTAGTTTGCTTAATATCATCATCGTAGAGTATATTTAATCTTTGTGAATAAAGACAGAATAGCATAGTTAAATTATGAAGTGCAAAGGGGTGTTCACTGAAACAAGATCAGTTAAATTCCATATAAAAGTAAAAAATGTATTGATTTCATTGTGAGCATAATGAGATTCAAGAATGGAGTCATACAAAAATAGTGTTGTATAAAGGTCATTTTTATAAAAACTGAAATATGATAAGCAATTTTGACCTTATAAAAAGATTGTGTGCAATATTTGTATTTAGCTAATTAAGATATGATTGTTTGTCATAGACGGTTGAAAGGAATCATTTTCATTTTCACTTCATTAGGATATTGCTTACCATAAAGTTTCCTATTCGAACTCCTCCCAAATGATACTTTGGCTTGGACAGTCGAATTGTATCTCTGACCCCCTTATAAAATGTGTATCTGTGGGTTGTTTATGATAAATTGGGATAATCAGAAATCACTAAATGACAAGTTCACATGATTGGTAAGGAAATAGCTTTCATATGCAAAGGATTATTAATAAACCCATGACAAGCTAGATTTCTTAAGATAATTATATACATATATATATATATATATATATATATATATATATATATATATATATATATATATATATATATATATATATATATAAATGAGTACACAATCATATGATTCAGTTAAATCAAGTAAATTTCCTTTCTTATATTTTGTATCTTCTCTCTCGTAGCAGTGCTTCTGTATAGAAGTGGTGTGTATCAGTATTAACTCTGAGGTATTGTACATCAAAGCAACGTAATCCTAATTGTACATGATGAGTAAGCTGATAAAGTTTCCATGAAATCCTAATAATCTTCCATTCATTAAATATAATGTTTTCACAATTTTGACATTTAATACTGTTACACATCAGAACGAAATGACAAGAACCCATTTTTCATGTTCACAATTACTTAAGTTATACACAAAAGCATAGAATGATTAAAAGTAATTACTCAAGACATACTTCTCAAAAATTACGTTAAATGAATCAAGTAAAAGCACTTCCATCATAAATTACGTACAAAATTTCCATGTAGACATAACCCACATTTTCTATCAGAATACTATGTAGAATAAAGTTAAATCATTGAAAAGAAAGTCACTAATGTCAAGATTATATTGCTTTTTAAATGATAAGTGAAGAATTGTCGTATTCTAACACTGATCCGCCAGGATAACATTCAATTAGTATCTGTCTATCTATTAGTTTATTCCGTTTATAATTTCTCTTTTATTATGGTTTTATCAGTGCACGGTATTCATTTAAGAAAGATTTTGTAAATCAATTTGTATATTACAGCAGTTTGAAGATCCCTATATAATACTAAAAATCAAAGAATATTTAAACGAACAATTGGTTACAATTACTTCATCATCAATCTCCACAGTTATAACTCCATAATTGTTGTTATTTTTTTTTACAAAAGAATAGCAATAGGGACACCACTCAGCTGATTCTGGCTTATATTTTTTTCTAGCCAAACTGGAAAATGGACCGTTGATCGGCATCCTAAATAAGCTAGATTATTACTGTCCATACATTAGATGATACACTAATAGTGTGTGACGAAACTATCGACAAATAATAGTTGTTGAACAGTCACAATAGCGTTCATCCGGTTATTAATTTCACCAGCAAAGAAAAGAACGGTAATATTATAGTTTTCCTTGATGTCCTACTTTCTAGAAATGTAACGGTCTTACACAAAGAAACGTATTTAGAGAGAATACTCGGACGAGTCAGTATACGATTTTCATATCTTTACACCCCTTTAATGCAAAATAAACACGACATTTGGATACTTTGACTTAAAGGATCTAGTGAAAGGATATTTCCTGCCGCCATGTTACATACATTTTTATTAACCAAACCAATACTTACACAACAAATCAGGGATAGGTTACTGATAATGGGCTCCTATATGTGTTCATACCGATTCAACTGATCTTGTGGAACTAGTTACATAGGCCGTACTCAGATATTATTATAATTGAGTGCTCGTGAATATGGTTAATAAATCTATTAACAGCGCCACTCTCATTTGATCGATAGTGAACGTCATATTAAAATAGAAGCTTTCTGTTTTATATCAAGTTCCTAATAATCTGCTAAATGAGCCAGATCACGACACCTTTACACAACTGAGGCTATCTAGATCAATTCCAGAACTTATGTATCCAGAAGAAGTATATCCAGCCTCTATATTTACCTAGGTCCGCAAATGGATCACCATATATTTTAAACCTTTTATCCCCCTCCCAATTCCTTTTACATTTATCGTTCTTAATATGCACATTCGTCTTTTCTAATCCACATGGATTTTTTAAAAATCATAATTACTTTAACAACACATCTCTTATTACATATTATATTCATACGTTATTATTATCATCTCGATTAACAAGACGAAATTCTCCTACCATGCATTTTATCAACACGATTCAATATCTCAACAGTTGGGGTCATGAGTCAATTGAAGCTAGATCACCATGGAAAACCTGGAAGCACTGAACGGCCGTTTTGTCCTATCGTGGGACTCCTCAGCAGTGCGCATCCACGCCCTCGTCTCGCGGGATTCGGACCCAGGACCTACCAGTCTCGTGCCAGGCGCTTGACCAACTAGACTACTGGCTTCAAGGGATATATCCTGGAGTTCTAGTGAGAAGCAGTGGCCGGTGAGTTCAACCGGGTCAGTTGTGAAGTAGTAACTCACTGATCACAACGGTGGATGTGTCGCTCAATTCCGTGGATTAATTGGAGTTAGACATTAACACCGTTGGATGCCGCCTCAGTGGTCTAGTTGGTTATGCACCTGGCGTGAGACTGATAGGTCCTGAGTTCGAATCTCACGAAGTGGGATCGTGGATGCGCACTCCTGGGAAGTGCCACAATAGGACGAAACGGCCGCTTAGGTTTTCCATGATGGTCTAGCTTCAACTGTTGAAATTACTACAATCTCCGCAAAACCCCCTTCTGATACGATTCAATATATTACTATTATACTGATTATAACGTGACACTTTACTACTAATCATTTTAACCTTTATTAAATGATCTTCCTTATTAACAAATAACACAATTCCGAAGTATTTATGTCATAACAGATGAAAAACGTTCATTAATTCTTAACAGATAACATCATCAAATCCATTAATGCATGCCTTATTTTGATCTTAATAAAATATCACAATAATTATGGAGTTATAAATGTAGAGCTTAATGATAAAGTTATTGAAAGTAACTGTTCGCTCAAATAATCTTTGTTTTTGAATAATTGGTATATATGTGATTTATTTATGAATAAACTAATCTTATTATCCAGGGTTAGATAACAGTTATTATGAAATACTACCGATATTAATACTTCTTATAATACACATCTGACTAACAAGCTCTAATAGAAATATATAAAACTCAGATTAAAATTTTATTGATAATTTCTCTCACAATTGTTAAACATTGAAATTCCAATCAGTTAGCTTTATAAGAATTTCGCAAATTTAATTGACGGATTACGGTCATATGGATGTGGTTGGTTTCAACTGAACACACAGGTTGGAATAGCTAAATTTTCTTAGTAATTCTTGTTTATGGTGTAGTTCGACTCTGAGTAACAAGTGGACCGAGCTCCTAACGTTTTCTTGTGAGTTTATTATTTCAAACTGTGAATGTACTTATGCAAAAAATAATGATGAAAACTATAATTTAATAAAACAAAAACTTAGATTCTACATAAATAACCGTCTAATAAGTGGTTCTTTTCACGGCTCAGGAACAATCCAACACCAACAAACATACATGTCAATCCTTATTCATTATAAAATTCATATAGAAAACTCGTTCATGTTATGAATCATTGTCAAGTGAGATGGTTGAGAGATGCGTCACGTATGTTCGACAGCCGCCTAACTAGCTCATCAGATGATGTTAGCTAATATAGAATTTTGAAGAAGGATACGGATAACCAGACGTAGACGTGATATCAGTCTACCAAGTAGCTATTAACTGTCCTAAGTAATGTTGGTATATAAAGACTATTTGATAAGAATCAATGCAATAATAGCTATCAGAGGTAAGAGATCATGAACGATAAAGAGCAGGATCGGTCAAAATAGAGTAGGTCTTGAATGCGAATAACCCCTCATATATTCCCTTTCCCTCTATCACATCTCAAACAATATTCTCAATATTCAATACTTCTCATTATTATTGCTATTATTTCATTTTGACTCCATCGCTATTCATTTTTTTCTGTTTAAATCTTGTATTAATATCGTCTGTGAACTTGAGCTAACGCAAGTTTGTACCAGACCCTAACATTCCAAATCACAATGACTAACTGACAATATTCAATTCAAAACATAATCTACTATAATTTACAAGAACAAAACAGTGTTATTTCCTTCTTCATAACAGTTTTAATCAACAACAAGAAAAAAGGTTAACCATTAAGGAAAACACTAAAAGATAAAAGAAAACGAAATGAAGGTAAAAAGCAGCAAACATAGAAATCAACAAAATAATGGAATAAACAACGAATCATGAAAAATATTTTTTAAAAAGAATAAAAATCCCTAATTTCAACAAACAAAATAAAACAAATCGAACAATGAATAAGAAAACAAGCTGTTTTACAATATTTAAAAAAAAATGGATTTTCTCAATGAATTTCATGGAGATTCAACCTTATTTCAACATTAATTATACGGGAACATTTTTCACCCGGTCGATTTGAATGTTGACAATGATGATTGATGATTTATCTCAACTTTATTATTATCATCAATATCAAGTGAATTAGACTTGGAATTATGTGATAATGTTATCGATTGAGCATTATTATCATCATTATTATTATCACCAACATCATCATTCAAAACAACATTTAATTTAGATGACAACCGTTGAGAATTATTGACAGTTGATGTCTATGGGAATTGTGATCAGATGTTAAGAAAAAAAGTGTGTTGAGAAATGGATTATCGGATAAAACGGTTGTTATCACTATCTATCGTTAAAAGATAAAGATAATATCAAAATCTGATTGATAACGTGACAGAATATCATTGGAAATTGTCACACTTATACACAGTTGATTCATGCAAATACATATCTATATGTATATTATTTACATGCTAAATCATAAATTGGACATGTTTATACCTGTCTTCAGTGTGTCATCTTTATACACAAGAAACTGTAAGTATGGGATAATGGAGTTACATAGGAATAATGAACAGATCAATGCTAGGCCACCAGTGAAAACATGGAAAAACTGAACGGCCGTTTCCCACTTACATTCATCATGTGCTCACAAGTAAATAGCTTCAAGAGCAAATTGTTGGAGTTTTGATGTGAAGCCATGATCAGTGGATTTCAAATGTGTCAGCTGCGACTGAAGCTACACATCAACATTGTTGGATGCCAGCTCAATGGTCCAGAGACTAAGCGTTCGCCCCAAAGTCCAGGCTATAGTTCCTGTGTACGTGGTCATGGATGCGCAACTTTGAAGAGTCCCATACAAGGATAAAACGGTCGTCCACAGTTTCCGGGTTTTCGATAGTGGTCTAACATTGATCGGTACGTGATTTCAATGAGAATAACTTTAATGAGTAGTTTGGTTGAGACAAGGAGAATTTTCAAATACAGAAATCTGGGTAAAAGTATAGTATAGAAACTAACCAGTGAAAATCGAGAGTGCGACTTCTATGATCATGGACGAAATTCAACTATCATGTATAACTAGAAATACAAATACCTTTCCATAATACTCAAAAAAACTATATTTTGATATCAGCAGGCAAAGATGAAAATGTTAAATGTATCGAATCCTTGATTCTCCTTCTTCAGACTGTGGATGATAGGCAAATTGGCCTTATCCTAAAATCCTGACCCTGAGACGAACCGTAAATTGTTGGTACGCCATTTTATGAGCAAACTAATCAGACAGCGCTTCTTCGATTTTAGAAAAAAATTCATAAACCTTATACAGCATTATTACACATTAGCTGATGTCGATTCATGATGAAAAGGCAAGGTTTAAACGTTAGGTCCTTCCGAAATGTGCCCGCCCTTTCGTTTCAATGACCTTGAACGGCTTGACTAGAGGCGGTCATTCCGTATTTCAATTGCCGTGGGTTGGTTGGATTGCATGAGTATCAAGTTTTTTCATATATAAGTCATCTTATGCTACATAAAAAGCACGAAATAAATACCAAAACCATTAATTTAGCGTTCTCTGTTTTGTAGTGTACACTTTGGATCTGTTGTTGCTTTGTAATTTGATCTTAGATCCCAATAACTGTAGTAAAGCTCAACGAAATGTCAAGTCACAGGTAAATCCTAAGTATTTGTAGTATTTCCTTGGGTTATTATTGTTGCAAGGAATAACTTTCTAATAATTAGTCATGTCTGTTTTTAGTGCTTCATGCTCAAGTGGCATTTCAGTCGACCTAACCGATGCCTTTCGAAGTATGATACTGAACAAGCGTTTCGTGTTGTGGGATGATTTTGAAAGCGCCTTAAAAGAGTTCCAAAAAGTATGGAATTATAATTTTATCGCTTCTCAAACTACTTATACTCGTTACATCCACACAGAAAGCAGATTGCTGAAGGATGTCAGGTTCAAATACCTGTTTGTATCGTTTAATTGTACGTTTGGTCATAAACGGAAATCGGAAGGTTTGAAAGTGAGGCAAAAATCGTAAGATCTTTAACTAATATCTTATGTTTAAGGTCTAAATTCCGTAATTGTCAATCTAAATTCCGTGTAAGACTAGAGGAGCAAGGATATGTCATCAAATCCTACAACATGCTCAACAATCATCCATGTAGTAGTTCATGGATGGTATGTGATCCATGGACAAGGAGATTATCGTCAGAAGAAAAAGAGAACTTGAAGCCCGTAATACTTCACTGTGAGTCAGCAGATGAAGTTATCGAAAGTATTAAGGAGAGAACTGGTAAGCAAGTAACTGCTGCCGATGTCAAAGGTATGAAAGCTACACTCTCCACTGGTAAGTGTATATAAATATATTTCAGGTTGTTTTACTCGGAACCAGGTAATGGATATGCTTAGACAGAAAGGCAAAGTGAAGGAACATTTAGAAAATGGATATGCCACTAGAATATGTTTCAGTAGTTATAACCAAATACAACTGTACAGGAAATATCCAGAAGTTGTGTGCATTGATTCTATGTATAATACTAATAATAAAAAGTGAATATGTTTATCGTTGTATTTTACTATGTAGATATTCCTTATTCTAGTTAGTGGTGACGGATAATTGCGGTCGAGGTCGAACTGTAATGTTTGCGTGGACTCGAAGGGAAAAGCGTGCCGATGTGATATGGATTTTAGATCAATTCAAAGAGATAATGGGTGACACAATGTTTACTGAAACATTTGTGATGGATTGCGCACGATGTGAAAGCGCGGCTGTCTGTATAACACACGGACATGCAAACATAATTTTGTGCGCCTTTCATGTAATTCGCGCTTTCCGGAAAAAGGTACACCAATGGTTACTTATATGAATTTGCCCTTAGACAAACGACAAAATAATGAAAACGTACTTAACTCGATTGCTAACTGCGGAGACGGTTGGAAGGTAATTTTTGTAATGTGTTTATTCACTAGATTTAATCAATATTACAGAGTAATAAATCGGCGGGACAGATTGATAGGTCAGTACCTGTCACGTTTTTGGATGGCACGTAAGACAATGTGGGCGCGTGCCTTTTACGGTCATGTTTTAACATTGGGTAACAGCACGAATAATCGTGTTGAATCGCTAAATAAGCAAATAAAACGATATGTACGAAAAAGTGATAGTCTGTACAAATGTATGTACAAGGCTTTACAATGGAGTGAATTGACGTCAACTAGTAGAAGTATCGAAGATCAAGTGATAGCCGGAAGATCTTATAAATATAATGCTCCACAGCGTCTTATACCCCTGCTAAACATTTTGACCCCATTCGCAAGATCTAAATCGTTATACGAACTTAAACAAATGCGTTTCGTCTACGTGGAATATGAAAGCGGCGACTGGTTGTTTATGGTTGACCGCGGACAACATTATGAAGTGGATATAAGCATTTGTCAATGCAATTGTAGCACGTTTATGATGTGTCGATTTCCCTGCCGTCACATGCTACTTGCCTACGTTAAAAGACTAAATCTTACAGGTAAGCTATATCAATTATGAAATACTAACTGCATAGCTCATCAACTTCTTAGGTATTGTAGCAGATGGAAGTTACATAATACCCAGAACTTCCAAAATTATACATTAACTGCATTACCACGACGGAGTGAAGTGTATATAAGTATTCAACGAAGCCAAAGAATCCATAAGCATCGCATCATTGAGAAGTATGGTGAACGTTTCGCAACGGAAGTTGAGAAGAAAGTGGACAATTATTACTTAAGAATTCTTAATACCAACTTGTAGACTTGATTTTCTGCTTTAGCAGCAATGATTATTCAATAAACTTTCATAATTTTAATTTTCATCTTATTCCTACTTTCATGGGAATGAATAGCAATGATGTTCATGTGTAACTGTTTGTAATAATTAAGAATGATTAAGAAACCCTACATCCACGTACAGTCTTGCAGATTAGGCACCCACATATCATATTCACCTTCGCCGGATTACGTTTACCATTAAAATCGTATCAGTAGCTAAGTAGATTTTAATTTCATGTGATTAGTTCCGCTTATGAATTAAAATGAAACCAGGAGATAACCTACTTCATTTCAATTATTCATAGTCAGGTATGTCAACTGTTACCCACATCACTGTTAAATCCTAATGCATATTTAGTTATAATGAATGCATACCACTGTTAATCAACATTTCTCCTGGTTTCATTTTAATTCATAAGCGGAACTAATCACATGAAATTAAAATCTACTTAGCTACTGATACGATTTTAATGGTAAACGTAATCCGACGAAGGTGAATATGATATGTGGGTGCCTAATCTGCAAGACTGTACGTGGATGTAGGGTTTCTTAATCATTCTTAATTATTACAAACAGTTACACATGAACATCATTGCTATTCATTCCCATGAAAGTAGGAATAAGATGAAAATTAAAATTATGAAAGTTTATTGAATAATCATTGCTGCTAAAGCAGAAAATCAAGTCTACAAGTTGGTATTAAGAATTCTTAAGTAATAATTGTCCACTTTCTTCTCAACTTCCGTTGCGAAACGTTCACCATACTTCTCAATGATGCGATGCTTATGGATTCTTTGGCTTCGTTGAATACTTATATACACTTCACTCCGTCGTGGTAATGCAGTTAATGTATAATTTTGGAAGTTCTGGGTATTATGTAACTTCCATCTGCTACAATACCTAAGAAGTTGATGAGCTATGCAGTTAGTATTTCATAATTGATATAGCTTACCTGTAAGATTTAGTCTTTTAACGTAGGCAAGTAGCATGTGACGGCAGGGAAATCGACACATCATAAACGTGCTACAATTGCATTGACAAATGCTTATATCCACTTCATAATGTTGTCCGCGGTCAACCATAAACAACCAGTCGCCGCTTTCATATTCCACGTAGACGAAACGCATTTGTTTAAGTTCGTATAACGATTTAGATCTTGCGAATGGGGTCAAAATGTTTAGCAGGGGTATAAGACGCTGTGGAGCATTATATTTATAAGATCTTCCGGCTATCACTTGATCTTCGATACTTCTACTAGTTGACGTCAATTCACTCCATTGTAAAGCCTTGTACATACATTTGTACAGACTATCACTTTTTCGTACATATCGTTTTATTTGCTTATTTAGCGATTCAACACGATTATTCGTGCTGTTACCCAATGTTAAAACATGACCGTAAAAGGCACGCGCCCACATTGTCTTACGTGCCATCCAAAAACGTGACAGGTACTGACCTATCAATCTGTCCCGCCGATTTATTACTCTGTAATATTGATTAAATCTAGTGAATAAACACATTACAAAAATTACCTTCCAACCGTCTCCGCAGTTAGCAATCGAGTTAAGTACGTTTTCATTATTTTGTCGTTTGTCTAAGGGCAAATTCATATAAGTAACCATTAGTGTACCTTTTTCCGGAAAGCGCGAATTACATGAAAGGCGCACAAAATTATGTTTGCATGTCCGTGTGTTATACAGACAGCCGCGCTTTCACATCGTGCGCAATCCATCACAAATGTTTCAGTAAACATTGTGTCACCCATTATCTCTTTGAATTGATCTAAAATCCATATCACATCGGCACGCTTTTCCCTTCGAGTCCACGCAAACATTACAGTTCGACCTCGACCGCAATTATCCGTCACCACTAACTAGAATAAGGAATATCTACATAGTAAAATACAACGATAAACATATTCACTTTTTATTATTAGTATTATACATAGAATCAATGCACACAACTTCTGGATATTTCCTGTACAGTTGTATTTGGTTATAACTACTGAAACATATTCTAGTGGCATATCCATTTTCTAAATGTTCCTTCACTTTGCCTTTCTGTCTAAGCATATCCATTACCTGGTTCCGAGTAAAACAACCTGAAATATATTTATATACACTTACCAGTGGAGAGTGTAGCTTTCATACCTTTGACATCGGCAGCAGTTACTTGCTTACCAGTTCTCTCCTTAATACTTTCGATAACTTCATCTGCTGACTCACAGTGAAGTATTACGGGCTTCAAGTTCTCTTTTTCTTCTGACGATAATCTCCTTGTCCATGGATCACATACCATCCATGAACTACTACATGGATGATTGTTGAGCATGTTGTAGGATTTGATGACATATCCTTGCTCCTCTAGTCTTACACGGAATTTAGATTGACAATTACGGAATTTAGACCTTAAACATAAGATATTAGTTAAAGATCTTACGATTTTTGCCTCACTTTCAAACCTTCCGATTTCCGTTTATGACCAAACGTACAATTAAACGATACAAACAGGTATTTGAACCTGACATCCTTCAGCAATCTGCTTTCTGTGTGGATGTAACGAGTATAAGTAGTTTGAGAAGCGATAAAATTATAATTCCATACTTTTTGGAACTCTTTTAAGGCGCTTTCAAAATCATCCCACAACACGAAACGCTTGTTCAGTATCATACTTCGAAAGGCATCGGTTAGGTCGACTGAAATGCCACTTGAGCATGAAGCACTAAAAACAGACATGACTAATTATTAGAAAGTTATTCCTTGCAACAATAATAACCCAAGGAAATACTACAAATACTTAGGATTTACCTGTGACTTGACATTTCGTTGAGCTTTACTACAGTTATTGGGATCTAAGATCAAATTACAAAGCAACAACAGATCCAAAGTGTACACTACAAAACAGAGAACGCTAAATTAATGGTTTTGGTATTTATTTCGTGCTTTTTATGTAGCATAAGATGACTTATATATGAAAAAACTTGATACTCATGCAATCCAACCAACCCACGGCAATTGAAATACGGAATGACCGCCTCTAGTCAAGCCGTTCAAGGTCATTGAAACGAAAGGGCGGGCACATTTCGAAAGGACCTAACGTTTAAACCTTGCCTTATGAAAACTAACTCTAAAACCCCAATCATGATTAAGGACAATGTGAAGACTCGTAAAAATTCATTTGGCATTTATAAGTTCCAAAAGACGGACAAACTATATTCATAATTTTGTTGTTTTTTATTTAGAAACAGAGTAACATGCAGAAGACGAGAATACATTTATTAATTATGTAAATCTTTTCATACTTTGCAATATTGTTATTTTCTTTTCCATAAACTATCCACATACAAAACCTGTTTTTTGATTGGCTATAAACTATCTGGAAATTTACCGTGGTTGTTTCGATTCCATCCTTGCACTAGACTTTTGCTGAAATTTGTCTAAATATTTCCTTTTTTCATTATTGGCTTGCGAAAAAGGAAGTGTCAAAGGAGACAATCAGAATCAACAAAAGATTACTTAATCAGCTTTTGGGATAGTCAGGTTATAATGTCAAAATACTCATAGCCGAATCCATACAAGCTGTCACAAGGTTGTAAACAGAAGTCTAATGTACCAAGGCCATTGATAATCTATAAGTTAAATTCTATACATAGGCGAATTTAGAGCCAGTATGTATTCGAGATTATCACATTATATGGCCTTGGTAATAGAATGGTCTCAATTAAGGATCCATTCGAAATAATAAAGACCTCGATATAGATAGGACTATTTGGCTCGAGGTCTTACAAGGAGTTCTTAACCATTAGAAAATCGAGTAGTAGCTTAAACCGATGCACATATGTACAGGGTTTTGCGTTGCAAATGACTGACTTATACATTTCCAATTTCAGCCCATTTATCATACAACGCGATGATCAACCAATGGTGTTGGCAACAAATAATTTGCCTCCGACGTATATATATATATATATATATATATATATATATATATATATATATATATATATATATATCCATGATTTCACCACAATGTTATTCGATTTTTAATTACCATTTATATCAGATTTTATAAGTATTAAAACTAACTAAAATTGTTCAATGTACATATAAAATAACAAAAGCAAAACAGTAAAATTTATCTTAGTAATATTAACTTACTTGAAGTGAATTCACACTAGTCCCAAGTCTTGGCCACTCTGTTTCATCTGTAACTAATCCAATAGGTTTTAAGCTTGAATCAGATAATTTTCTGTTAGACGGATTACTTTTTATTATATTAACCTCAGTATTTTTAATAAAATACTTTTTATCTTGATTGATTGTTTTAATTCTACTTGTAACAGAGTTAATAGTTGATGTAATGATAGCATTATTATGACTAATACAAGTATTAGTATTGGTAGTGGTATTAGTATGATTAGTCCTAGACTTAAAACTGTTCTTTTTATACTCATTACGAGGCATACTGTTAACTTTTTCCATCCCAGTTGTATAACCATCATAATACTCGTGTTGGTACTGTTGTCCCTGTTCATTTAAACAATTCTTAGTACTTTTACGGATATTATTATCATTATTTACTTTAGCAATATCAGTAGGGTTAAGAGCATGAATCGAATTATGACTGCTACGAGAGGTAATGACAACATTTTCATTGGTACTTGCTTGACCATTGAATCGCTGTTGATGATGACCTATATGATTAGTAGAAGCAGTAGTATTGTGAGTGTTACTACTACTACTAGTGGTAATTATAGTTTTACACTTATCAGAATGAAATTTCTTTATTCCATTGGTAGGGTTTCGTTTTAACGCACCGATAGAAAGTGAATGATTATTATTACTATCATTATTATTATTATTATCATTAATATTATTTTTGTTGTTATCATCAATAATTACACTATTGTGAATAAATTCTTCTGATTTATGATGGTGAAGAACACTTTCATCGCCTGATGAATGCTTTTGTAACCTTTTATGAAACTCTTCAACGGACCCACCACTATAAGTGCTACCATTTTGATGATGATGACGGCGACGCGTTTGATTAGTGTTATGAGAGTTACTAACACAGTTAATACGCACTTGACTTGTCAACTTATTCGATGTAACAAGTTGTTTTCCATGGAATGGTAAATATTGATTACTCTGAGGACATTGTTGTCGCGGTGAATGAATCATCAACGGTGTTGTATAATTTGATTGTGGTAAACTATTTATAAAACTATGAGATATTACATTGTCCGAAGGACAATGTTCATGAATATGACATAGTTGTCGACTGTTTGTGTTGACAGTAGTAGGGTTACGATTCATTTCTGAGTGTTGAATAGGATAATCTGGAGATGGTAAACTAGGATATGTGCATGACCAATAACTGACGGCTAAGGGTGCCATAGGTATACTTGGTGTGGTCGATAGTGTTTGCTTTTGTATATGTTGACAATTCGATCCGAAATATCCTGTAAAACCACGTCGACCAGAGTCATTATGTAAATACATTGTAGCATCAAGATCACATGAACTGGGCGATGGAAATACAAAATTATTTTGATAATGATATTGTGAAAATCCACCGGGATCACAACGTGACTGACCAGTAGGAATATCAACAGACTGTTGTTGTTGCCGTTGTTGATGACTTTCTTGAGGATGATCTTGAAGGTGTGGATTTGGAAAAGGTAGAAAATGTTGACCATGTTGTAAAGCTGGTGATGTATACGGTCCAGATATGTATCCACTGGTATGACCTATAGTGATTGATTTATCAAAAAGTGTATTTCTTCTTGATTGGAAATTAAATTTCGATAATTTGGTGAAATTTATTGGCCAAGCTGTGGAACGAGATTCAGTAGAAAGAAAAAAAGCAGATAAAACCGTGTACAATGCAGAAAAATTGTCAGTATTACCAAGAGCATAACACAACAGATGAAGAGTTACGTAAGCAAAAACAATACTTTTAATTATTTTCCGTAAACTGTCAAATTTGTTACAACAGTTAAAATCATGAGGTCATAATACCAACTAGTCATTAAATTCTAGAATTATATATCAACCAAAAAACGATTTACTGAAGTTTTGTATGATTCTTTTTGCGTCGGTTCCAAATACTTTGTTTATCGAAAAGTATAAAATACTTTTAGTATACTTGGTATGTACTTAGCAGTGGAATTTATGATACTCGTTCCATCCCATTTTGGACTCATTAGACTTATGGACCCGCATTCTAACGTTGGTATTGAAGCTCGAACTCGCCACATTTTCCTTCAAATACACGTGTTATTCACTAAGCTACTGGATCTAAGGACAGCTTCTAAAGTGCTCAAAGGGTGTGGAGATATCAGTAAGCGTTTGTAGTTTCCTTTTGTTGATACTCAGGACTGTAAATGATCAGTCTCAACACCAACACCGAGATCTAGGCGCCTTCAGTTGATGACTCTCAAATACGACGACACGCGAAACCCGCATTTCATTGATATTTAAACACAAAGTAAACTAAAACTTGTGAGATCAAATAATATATAGGTAATCCGCTCAAGGTGCACACATATATCTACTGAGACTGATAATCAATCTCAGTTGTGGATATCACCAACGGAAAGTTACAAACCTTTATTTGGAAACAGCACCTGACGGCCGTTTCGACTTAGTATGGAAATCCTGACGAGTGCGCACCCACGATCCTGGGTCTGAGAATCGGACTTAGGACCATTTGTTTCGTGCGCAACCCTTAACCTTTAGACTACTGAGCCAACATCCAATAATGTACAACTATTTTACACCCGACATGTACACTAGCTTAAAATAGTTCGTGATTTAAACTATGAAATTTCATTAATTAATATTGGAATAGATGTGAAGGTTAAATTAAAACCACCACAGTACGAATTTTATTTTAATAAATAGACAGCACTAAATTACAATGTTTAGAGGTTACCTTAAAACAAAAGTCTTTTTTCTCAATGACGCAATTATAACACACGTTAATGAAAAGCTCTAATTAGTCACACTGAATGATGCCTACAACTTTAACCAAATATTTTATCTGGCGTACAAACTATGTTGGATCCGCAGTCATATTGCTTATACTCGACAGTTGGAAACCACTCTAATTCCTTGACCCTACTGCTCACAATTAGAAACAAGAACCACGGTAATTCCAACGACATGAACAGGAACACGAAAGGCTGGTGCAATGAAGATTCATTGGCTCTCTAAAAAACAATTCACTTGTTAATCCCATCACATCACCGACCAATTATAATAGGAAGATCTCTCTGATAAAGGTCGAATATCAATGTAAACAACTTGGGATATATATATCACACGACGGTGAGATGAAAGTTCAATCAACCACACAGTTAAAACAGTAACACGACAATCAGTTAGTTAAGTAAACACAAGTAACCGCACAAGGAAACATAAAACCTCAACTAATAACTTTCTATATTTAGAAATATTTTTTAAATAGGCCTAAAAAGTTATTAATAAAAACTTTTTAATAGGGATATTATTGCTAAACAGTTAACCTTTGTCTGAGGTAAAGAATTTTTTTAGCTAAATGTGCATAATTTACCCATCATTAGGCTATTAAATTAAATTAATAAGAAACCTAGAGGAGTGGTCAAACCAAAACAAGACCGAATATCCATTTACAAAAACAATAAATTATTCCACATGGATAGTTTTTTAAATGAATGAAAAAGGTCCACATTCATATATATATTAATCATGTATTATCACTTATCATCCAGTAAGCTAAGTCTCTACTGTCCAATTTTAATGTATAAAATGAAGATTCAGTTAAACTATATAAAACCTATAAAGATTATCACATCAGTTAATAACAATTGCTGTGAATGTATAAAATAATGAAGATGCTACAACTGCTCAGCAGGACGAAGTTAACGATGCTAGACTTTCTGAACTGAATAGTTTATTCGAGCTGCTTTCCAATGTTTGTTTCTTTCGAAAAATTATTAGAACACACTATACCAAATCAGAAAATATAGACAGTCTTAAGATGATAATGATAAAACCAATCACATGACGGTTATTTAGTTACACATATTAGAAAAAGAATACTGATACACACTACTTGAAAAATAGAACTTTTTCGTTAAGTTGAATATTTGAAAGAAAAAAACTACTCGAATATAAACTCAGTAAAGTAATTCTATCAGGCTTTTCTCACGTACAAAAGTTTAGAAAACCGTTTAACTGAATAGACAGAATAAAGTATAAATACTATTTCATTGAAAAAAACAACAACGAGAAAACATGACAGTACAAACAGAAGAATAAAAAGTTTACAATGACGACCTTTGGCCCAGTGACTAGTTTTGAGAGGAAATTTCTAGAGTTCTAGTGAGAAGTCGCGATCAGTGGATTTCAACTGTGTCAGGTGTGAGGTAGATAAGCACCGAACACAATGGGAAGATGGTCATGAAATATCGTAGGTTGTTAGAATTATAAATTAACACTAATGGATGCCGACCCAATTGTCTAGAGATTAAGTGTTCGTCTGTGCGACTGAAAGTCTCATGTGCGTGGTCGCGGATGCGCATTGTGGAGGAGTCCATGTTAGGACGAAACGGTCGTCCAGTGTTTCCAGGTTTTTAATGGTGGCTAGTGATTTTTAATCGAATTCGACATTCTCAACAACCCTTTACTAACACAACTAGTAAAATTTATTGAAATGTACGTTCATATATAACATGATGAATTATCATGCTATTTATAGTCAATTATATCGGGTGTATCATTACTTGGCATTGATTTACACTTCAAGTTCAGAAGTTAGTGTTGCTAAAACGTTGCCCAAGCAGAAATATATTCGTCGCGATTAGAACCTAGAACTTAGTGGCCTAACTGCACATCATAACATGTGAATCACTCTTGAACAGTTCAGATTTTATTCATCCAGCAAGTACAAGGTAAAACAGGTAAAATGAAAGATTCTTCAGTAAATGAATTACTCAGAGAAGTTGATGTGTTAAGAGTACATCACCAGTTCACTCGTCAAATTCAGATGGTGAAGATCTGTATTTCACTGGATGACTTTGATGGAAGTTTAGTTCTCACAGTTAGTTCTTTCATCATCACGCTTTTATTGTTCTTCCAAAGAACATCAGCAGAAGCATCAGATCAGTAATAACCAATCAAAACCAAAGTCAACAGCACAAGCTGTCAATTAAAGCAGTTCACTTCTACCTGAACTTTGTACTGATAATGTTGCTCAGAAGAACAATGAAGGCTTCATGATTAAACCATCCAGTTCAGAAAACAAAACTCTGCCAAAAATTATCGAATTGCACAACAGATTACATCCTTCATCATTGTAACCGGAAGCTGAAAAAACTTTTCTTCGAAATAAAAATGTTAAAGAAACACACACACGCACGAGATTAGTTTACAATTAAAGAAAATCTGTTCGATCACACAGTACGAGGTAAACAAACAAAACGAATTAATGTATGGGTTATATTTACACAAAATTGGTTAGTGTTATTTATAAAATACCTATTTTTAATGCATTAATACCGTTCGATTAGTGTTATGAGACTTTATTTATTATCGTTGGCAGTGTGCTGTGATTAGACTACAACAATAATAACAGCAAGCTGTTAACATAAAAGTCAATGGATAATCTACTATACCTTTACGAAGGATGGACAATTCCATTAATTGCATCATTTTCACTTTGTCTTCCTTATCCGACTGTTTTTTGTGTGTATGAATGTGTGGAAACAGAGGGAGAGAGAACAAGGAAAGTTATTACACAAGACATGAGAAGATATATGTACATATACACATGATAGATAGTACCTATGAAAATATAAGGTACATTGGAATACTTCCAATTTTGATCACGATGACTGAAGATCCTGGGGTTTAAGTGTCGAGTGCGGAATCATGGACGTGTACTGCTGAGTCTCATACTAGGTCGAAATGGCTGTCCAGTGCTTTCAGGTCTTTGACAGTGGTCAAGCATAGATCGACTTGTGATTTTAACTGTGTAAAGACAAAACGGGTTTAAATCGTTCATGTACAAACTCCGAAAACTCTAATTTATGGATTAAATCCTAAACTATTTTGCTTCTTCGAATGATTTGGTATTAAAATAATAGATACCATAGGTCGTGTATAATGTGTTTAACAACGATAAAGATTGTATTTCACTTAAAACAATTTATCACTACTGTAAAAAACCATTACGATATACATTAAGGGAGAAGTATACTATCAAATCAATCAGCTTTTAGGTTTAAGAGCGAAGTTTGAACTGCAATGTTAGCTATTGATCGTCGACAAATAAAGTCTATTTGGCTATCATATGAAGTGCAAACGATTTCGTATGAATGGAAAAAAACATGAAATCCTTGCTTACTTTTCTAAATGCTAATTGTGTTGGCAGAGTAAATCGATAAGGTCTGATGTTTGTTCAAAATTAACTCTTAAACAAATCATATTGTTAATAATCCTCATTGGATATTAGATAGGTATACAAATGTTATCCATTTATAGATTGTTTTTCGATAACACCTTTTAAACAACCTAGTAAAACCTGTGCAATCAAATAGGTGGTAGTTATGCGGAGTGGTATAAAAGAAGTCAAACAACCTGAGAGAAATAAATTGATGCCCAGGATAAATCACCTTCTAAAACAAACACACATCGTTTCTGATAATGAGAAACTGATTTAAAAGTCGAAAATAGATGAATCATTTTTTTGAAAGAACGTTTTACAGATAAAAAGTTCAGTTATTTTGAACAATACTTCATACATATAATGCAATTTGTAGTCATTGTGACTGAATGTCTTTAGCAAAACTAATTTACAAGATTATTTCCTTTAAAGGTTTTCACTAACTAGGATTCCTCAATCACATGATAATATTAGCTTCATCATAAAACTAAATATCTGGCAGAACATAGTATTGCCATCAATACCTAGAAGGCTATTGTTCTTTACATAAGACAGCTTGAATACACAAGTATTTTAGATGACAGCCCTACATATATAATCAATAATCCACAACGAAAAACTATGTATAAATAATTCGGTCGAATGACAACACTACTTAAATTATGATGAAAAACCAACGAATTATAAATCAATCAATTAGAGAGATTTCTATCCTAACATATCATGTAATTCTTCGCGCATAGCAAATGTAGATCTACCTAACTAATAATTACATGTTTACCACTGTTAAATTTCGAGGTGATTACTCTCAAAGTTCTAATTCTTTAACTACAGACACTAACCGATATCACGTGTTAAATTCGCCAATCGGAATTCCGACTATAAGTTTCACTACTTCGTGTCTACAACTCAGTTTATAGCTTGGAGTTTTAGATTTGACCTATTACACATTTGACCCAAAGTGTTAATCCTGAAAAAATGCAAACTAAATTCCTATTAATATTCTATACTCAAATCTTTATTCCTTGAGTCCGGAAATAAGCTACTAGTCAGTTATTATTATTATTATTATTATTAAATCCCAAGTACACATGAGTTTATGTACAAACATACTGAACCATACAGCACCAAAAATGAAAAATAACAATTATAAATAAACGAACCAGGAGTGGCTGTAAATAGGGGAAGCTGTAAATAATAGACCAGTAACAAATCAGAAATAGTAAATCGCATAACATAGGGTTAATGAGTTGAACAAAAACTAATGTAGACGGAATATAAAGGTACAGTAATCGAGCTATTAAGTAATCATACAACAAAAATATAAACAATACTAATTCAAAAAATGGTTCCGAAAGTTCCAAATGCCCCACGAATTCGTGCTTCTAAATGCCATGGTACGGTAAAGGGAGGAGAGAGTCAGCTCTCCCTCTTGAAATGCTCTCACATGGCTACGCGTATACAGCCACTTCAAGGGATGTCCTGCTAACTGTCTTCTCGTAGTAGGGGTATTGTTTACGAAATTGAGAGGACGAAAAGCGAATGTCTGGTGCTTTAATTGGGTTGGTAGATATGGACGATCCATATAGAGGGATTGGAAATTCCCGATTCCAAACCACTGGTGCACAAGAGCTCCAGGATTCTGAGGGAACGAATGGTGTATGAACCAATCGATGGTCACCGGCTACCATGGGATTGCATCTCTCAACGTTGCCCCACTGTCTTATGAATTAAATCTCTAGGCTAAATGCTTGAGGTGTGATCCTCTAAGAAACCATCTGCTTCGGTTTGGGCGTCCGGGCAGTGTTCCAACCCTCACACAAATCAAATGAAGTGTAGCACACACATATTTGGTGCCTGTTTGTACTAATGTTCATGTGTTTTAATAAACTTTTCATCTTGTTACAACACTAGTGAGAAACTATGATCATACCGCATGTTGAGCATTTATCCACGAATGGTATTAAGATGGTCGCACAATAACACGGATTGACTGAAGTTATTTAGACATATAAAATATGAAGTTCCGGCCTAATGGTCTAAAGCCTAAATGCTCATCCTGAGGCCTGAAGGCCTCACATTCTATACTCTGTCGTGAAGGTCATGAATACGCGCAGCTGATGAGTCCTTCACACTAACGTAAAACGGTTGTATAATACTTCCTAGTTTCCAATAGCTCTCTCTAATTAAGACCAATATGTGAAGCAAACTATAACTGCCTACCTACTTCTCTATTCATTTATCTACATATTTATTTGCAAGTTTCTCAACCTTACTATGAACGTAACTGATAAACTCTCATCACTAGATATTCAACATTATTATCACTGAGTGAAACAAGTGAAATGGAAATGACAAGATGAATAGTGGCAGTTTGTATACAAACAACGGCATAACTATTCTAAAGAGTAGAATAAATCACTTTAAGTTAAGATATACTGTGTACACAGTTAAAACTAATTACTATCACTATCATCGTTATTATTATTATTATTATTATTATTATTATTATTAGTAGTAGTAGTAGTAGTAGTAGTAGTAGTAGTAGTAGTAGTAGTAGTGATAGTAAGTAGTAACTATCATCTGCATGTATGTGTTATTATATCACGAGATTGAAAAATAGAAATGAATAAATAAATAAATACAGAACCATATAGGTAGTTTGAAAAGTAATAAAAATGACAATATATATTCACGAAAATAGATCATTTTGACGTTAATGCTGACAATACAACACGTGGTAATGCATTGTACACAAATGATTGTGGGGAAAACAACACTCGCTTACCAAGAGAAGAAGAAAGCAATTTATGGTAATAAAATCAGGCAATCAATGAAAACTTAAAATGAGTTTAAATCTCATTAATATGACCATAGAAATAGAAAGATGTATAAATATTAGTAATGACATGTACGCTGGTTGTAATACCTATTTTACACTCACTAAGCATGTTTTTTTCTGAGACAAATTTCTTAATACTAGCTTATAAGAAAGTAGAAATGCATTTAAGTTTAAATTTATCTAACGTAACTCAGTAAACAAGTGCTTTGAGTCCCGATTCTATGTGAAAAACTAAATGTACAAAACTACTTCGAGTTGGTGGTACGGAATTCAAATCAGTGACACTGTAGTTAAATGTCGAGTATTTTAACCATTAAGTCACTAGTCCTCTTTTTTGTATATATCTTTTGATCGATATGACAACAACAATTATTATTTGACACGATGATGTCCAGTCACTAGTTACTTGTCTATTTTCAAGTTAATAACAATCGTTACAAAATTATAATTCATAATCAGCTTTATCATTCAGATTTTATTCAAGATTATTGTCTGACATTACCTAAGAAATTTGAAGTCACAAGTTTCAACACGCTATAAAAATGCATTTATTCTGAGCACACACACACATACATAAAGCCTGAAATAGGTCTCACACAAGAAGAAAAATAAGACTAAAATGCGATTTATTGTACTTACTACTTTTACACTTTCCTGTAGAAACATACTAATATATTCGCTGGCTTTTTCAAGTCTAACTTTAGCACGATTTTCGTAATCTTCAACAGTAATTAGAACATGCAAATTGTCATTTAAATGATGCTCCGAGTTTGGCCGAACAAAATTTGCTCCAACCTAAATTCAAATACCATGGAGAATAGACAATAAGTGTTTTTTTTAAATAATATGAACAATGACAGAAATACAAAAATTTGAATGAATAGCCTATCGTAGATACGCACTGCTGAGGAGCCCCGTGCTAGAACGAAGCGGTCGCCTAGTGCTTCGAAGTTTTCACTGGTGTTGGAATAATCATTTAGCAACGGTAGAATCTGGTAAATATTTAGATTGGTTTCAGTTTCCAGATTACATCAACAAAGCGAGATGTGATTGTGAAGACAAATGTTAGAGTATTAGTACAAGTAGTAATAATGTCAGTGTTAATTAGATAGACCAGGCATGGACATTATGATTTTTAAAGAAATGAATCCGCAGAATAAAATATGTACGGTACTTTTAAAAATTAATATTTGAGGGAAGACAAGAATTGAATGCATATGAGTCATGTCACACATCTTCAACCAGGTAGTTTGTATCTGCCAACATGATCTGACTCAAAAGTCAATTACTTCATTGACTGATATCATGTTTTGATTTGCCTATATAGATAACTTTATTCCAACCTATTGCTACCCCAGTGAATATCGCACGTCGAAATAGGCAATTGTTGGATATTTGTAACAATACATGTCTGAACCACTTCGGTAGATGAATCATTACCTCATCAGTTAGTTTGTTATCTTTACCTACAAATGTGAATAATTTATTATCAATGACAAACTTGAAATCGAATACAACAGAACTATCTCATGAATAATGAGTCCACACCTCAATTTTGATTGGAAGATAATGTTTTTATACACATGTACTGACTTGTGTATTGATGAATTACTTCCTATTTGACTGGCTTAACAACCACCACTCACAAGGAATAGTAAAAAGAGTAAAATAGCTGAATAAATCAAGTCGTGTTGAACATAATTTTAATCGCCACTTAAATATTATGATGCAGCCTAGTCAGAAAGATGTACTGATTCTGATTATTTAAACAATGAATTATGAAACAATGAATTAAAGTTGATTCAATAAGAGTGTGGATTTGTTGACTTTCCTAATGTATATTTCAATTATTTCTACTGTCATGATGGTCATTAATCTAAATTTTGTTCATTTTCAATGTGGTGTGAGATGGAAAAACAAAGTCGATGATAAACTAATTTAAAGTAGAAAATGGTTTTGTTTTTTCGCTGACATTTAGAAAAAAAATAGATACTCCTGGAGTAGAATTTCTTTGATAACACTCACTTGATAAATAATAAAGAAAGCTGTGACCAGGGGATTTCAATCAAAGTCGGGTGTGAGACAGATGTCTACCTCATCCAACGGATGGAGGGTTGCGCAAGATCATGGGTTAATTGAAATTAGAGATTGACACCGTACGGTTCCGGCTTAGTGGTTTAGAGGTTAAGTGTTTGCGCGCGAGACCGAAGGTCATGGGTTTGAGTACCGCGTGCGAGATCGTAGATACGCATTACTGGGGAGTCCCATACTATGAAGAAACGGCCGTTCAGTGCTTCCAGGTTTTCAGTGGTGGTCTAGCTTAGATTGACTCATGATTTCAGCTATGAATATATAAATATTATGAAATAACAATGTATTGATGAACAGTGATCTATGTCAAGAATACACTCACATAGTGAGATTGTTTTTAATCTATAAGCTGGTTGAGATTCAGAGAGTTGCCCCATGGTGCCTAGGTAGGTGAAGGACTTTGGTAAAGAGTTCAAATAACCTCCATCTACTTTCCACTTGCCTATTAATTAACAGTATAAATTTACAACTAAATTAGGCGCCAGAATTTAGTTGAAATTAGAAGTTTGGGGAAGTTTCGTGAAACTGAGTGAGACCACTGATTGTGTCCGGGCTTATAAGAAAGAACAGAAGGACTAATTCAACTAATACAGTTTTTAAAATAATGGCATTTAGAGTTATCTGATACTTAGGTAGGACTTTGAAACAGTAAACTTGAAAAATCCAGACCATTCTTTAATCAGGAAATGGATGCAGTCACCTAAATTTCGATCTTTAAGTTCTGAAGCATAGACCTACTTACCGACACTTAACCGTCGCTGTATTTCTTAACCTGCCTTATACGATTCCATTGATTGGTCAGGTTTATATTATCATTTTCTATTGAAAGGGATATTAAAGAAGTACATAAACCTCATAATAACTCTTCCCTTCGAACCCGTTTGCCAAATAAACGCCTGCAGATAACTCATAACGATATTTTTCAGGACTGAACGCTCACCCCCTTATCTGACGCCAGGCTATCTGATGTTGAATACCACTGTATGTCCAAGTCAGGTTCCAGACTAAATAAATAGTTGACTGAGTTTTATGCCAGTTCTCTCGACTAGTCAGAAAGTTGTGTATATTAATTACAGTATTATTTTAGATTTTTTCGACCTTAGACAATAAATTTTTATGTATTACTGGGATAGTCAAACTATGCATTTGGTTTGTGATATTATGATTCTGTAATCTAGAAAGATTGTTAAACCGCTGTATAAATACATACCATAATTTCTTTTTTCCTCTCACCACTCTATCGGGCCCAAATCCAAGTACACGTACACACACATATATATAATGTTTGTTTGTTTTTCCATTTTAAACCATAAATTTGATTTTCACTCTTCCAGCAAAAGTAACATGCATTGTTGGAATAGAAGTTGTCGATATATGAATGAATGCCCGGGAAATTATTTCATTCTAGTTACCTGTGTACTCGATGAAATTTATTTTGCTAAAATAAACACACACAGGGTCTACATGTGCATTTTCAGTGCTTATATAAATAGAGTCCGTAACTAGTCGAGTGGCTTCTGAGATTTAATTTTTAGACTACCTCTAATTTAAAATGTTTGTATTGGTAATTCAAAATCATTATTTACTATCGGAGTACAAAAGTACTTTCGCTACAACTTCTGCATATATACCGTTTTGACTTAGAATGTGTACATTATACCCCTAAGTATGTGACAGATACTTTGGGAGATTTTTTCCTGAATAAAATAATGTAGAAGTGCATCATATTAACATTAACACTCAGTGTGATATTTATAACGAACTTGAATCCAAATACGTAGAAGACTATCTGTGCAAAACTATATTGTATTTTGAAGAAATATGCTCCTTACAAAGACATATAACAGGAAGTTGTGAAACCCTCACACAATCTACAGTTACATTTTTTTTCTAAAAAAATAAAACGAATTTAGGAGTGTAAATACGTTCAGCTATTTGCAGTGACCTTACATTGGACAAATAAGAACATTGGTATTCGAATGTTTAAATGAATTCTAACCCTACGAAAATAATATTGTACAAACATGAACGGAACAAGTTTTACGTATACCTACACTACTACTTACTCTAACGTGTAGAATGACGCTTAGGAGTAAGTTGAAAAAAGATAAGAATTGGTAAATCAAGAGAATGACATTGGTCCATAAAATCATTGGCTGCTGGTTTGATTGGTGCTAGAAGATGTAAACTTTTTAGCTTGAGATAGCATTGAGTGAAATAGGGTAAATTTAGTGATATTACCAAAATTGCAAGCATTCTCTGCCTTCCATGAAATCAAATATTGCGCACAATGGAGACGTACTGACATTAATGAAAGTCTACTTCAATATATACATAATATATCGATTTATGTGGATGATGTTTTACTGTGTAATGATACTCAAGCCAAGCAATCCGCACGTGATCAGTGCCCTTAAGTACGACATGTGCTTTGGACCTACTAATTTCAAAGTACTTTTACAAGACTATTAGGAGCTTGTAACTGTCCTCACTCTTGTTATTGAACAGTTAGAAATTGTAACATACTAATAATACACTACCATAATTATTCATAATTCAGTATTAACGCTTAAAATAACGTTAGTTATCAAACAAATAACCACGTTCATTCTGATAGATTCTTAGAAAGAATATTTTAAGACCTCTATACGATCCCGCTACTCTTATTGCTTAGTATTTTTCGGATACATTACTCGACTAGTCCCAAAAATCAGAACACGTTTGAATAGGGACAAAATTAAACTTTAAATAAACCAAGTTGAATGAGAGTAATAGTCATAAGGCGAACTGTTAGTAAACTTATAATTTATACACAAGAATATTTTAGAGTCTTCTTTATATATCTCCTAGAGCTGATTGGCTAAAAATGGGGCAATCAGCGCACCCCAATATCATCCTGTATAAGACATGGGTTATTTCCAATATATGACCCGTTAACAGAATCGCTGAATGAATACGCAATTTCACAAAATTTACTATTCAAATAAAAATAATAACACATAAATGTTAAATAAATTTCAGTAGAAAACAAGAACCCTCACTTTAGAAAAACAAGATTCAATCACAACTCACTTTTGTTTGATCTCGCATAGATCCACGACCACGAATCATAATTCTTACTCCTAAAAATTGTTGTAAACATTTAGCAGTGGATCCGTGGGGACCAAGAATTCGTCCAACAAAGTTGTACTACATAATATTATGCACGTTTATGAAGACAGGGAAATATCGTTTGGAAATAAAAAATAAACACAAATGAAGATAGTGCAAATTGATGAAAACGATACCAATAGAGATAAAGCGGGATTCAAACATACAATCCAATTGTTGATTATTTAAACAAACTACGGAATTATTACTTTTACAGTCGAAAACAAGAAAAAAGACAAAAGTGATTTACTTTGAATTTACCAGATTGAGTAATAACTGTTTGGAGCTTAAGTAAAATTGTAGAACGTTCGTTAATCTTTCAGTCTAACATTTAAGGCGTGTGTTATCTTTCGCAACAACGACCAAGAAAAAAAGGTGACTAACCATGCAAATCAGTACCATTTAAACGTTGGTATTCTTAAGTTTTAACAAGAAAAACGTTAATTGTCATTTTTTCCATATTATTCAGTTGGAACAGGTGTAACCTACAATTTTTACGCGGTACCAAAATCGTACAGATAGACATAGAACACATAAACCATTATAGTGTAAAATATTATGCTAGGTATATGCAAATATACCTCTTGAAATTCCACTCAAATAAAAAGCAACTGTTAAAAACGATAACAAAACAAATGATCATATAAAGGCAGCATATTTTTTTTTCTCTCACTCGTCACAAATCACAAAAAATAGTAAAATTTGTCTCCTCTTAAAATTTTCATTACACTTAACAAACTATCTTACACAAAGCGAAACCCCAATAACAGCAAACATTTTTTCCGTAAAAGAAAGTTGAATGTCTCCATAAAATGATACTAATTATGGTAACAAATCGTTGATTAAATCTAAACAAAACTGAATTCATAGAAATAGTTACTTCAGTAGCAGTTATATTATCAAAGAAAGATTGTGTATAAGGATATAGTGCAGGAAGAGAGAATTAGTTCGTAGAAAGAAAGATATGAAGCGATTTTAATCTCGCGGTTTAAGGGAAAACAAAGAGGGTACACACCGACGTCATTGTGATCGATTCTGAGCTATGTCACATAAAGTCTCCAACCATTGGTTACGATAGTCACGCAGACCTCAACCAAGTAGTCTGCATCTACCAACATGGCTCATATCATAGGTTAGTGACTTTATGGACTGACGCCACGTTTTTGTTTGGCCGCCCCTAACATTCTTCCACTCGTTTTCAACACTAGTCAGCATTGCGCGTCGTGGTAATTGGTGTTCAGGCATACGCAACACAGTCGATGAAGTTTTACAACCTTATCAACTGATTTACCATCATTCCCTAATACCCTGCGTCTAACCTCACTATTACTTACCCGGTGATCCCATCAGATGCGAGCACTATTTCTAAGACATCTGTGATCGAGTATCTTCTAGTCTTAAAGGCCACGTTTTGCAGCCAAAAAGTGGAACAGAACAAACTGCCGCACTGTATACTCGTCCCTTAATTGATAGACGAGTATCTCGCCTTCGCCATAGGTGAGATAAGTTGGCAAAAGCCAAACGAGCTTTTTGAATCCGTGCAGAGATTTCGTCAAACACCAACCCAACAGGGTTGATGAGACTTCCGAGGTGGTGAAGTTGTCGATATGTCCGACTACTTCACTCTCTATCCTTAGTTCAGTTGTTGACGCAGGTCAGTCCTGAAGCAACAACTTACATTTAAAGGGATAGCAACGCGTCCCAAACATTTCCTTCGTGAAAATCTTTCTACATTGGAGAGACCTAAAACAAACTCCCATGTTATACAATATATATAGACTTCAGCTAACATATTGTCTCAGTATTTTTCGTCATTCATAAATGTATACAAAAGGTTATCATATATACTTAACAAATGTATTGTTATGAGAAAACATTAAGTTGACGATATGTTTTCTCTTAATTTATTAGCTCGTTAGGTGACCATACTGGAGTTTTTTCCAATGTAACTTAACTCATGCCAGAATGACATTAAAATAGTGTCACTGCAATCAATTTATGTTTGTCAGTATGATAATTTTACATCAAGATAATGAAGGTCAATCTTTCTAATAAGCACTACTTGTCATTTTGTCAATTGGCAACTCTACATAAGCCATCACTCAACATGATTCATATGGGATTTCGTGTAGGTAGGCGATGAACTACAAATTTTAAGGCTTCAGTCAGTCACTCAGCTACAACGTAGGACGAGGCACATATATGCATCGGTCCAAGTTGCCATACCGCATTAGCACAGCAGGATGAACATCGGATTCATAGGAGTAGTTAAGTCAATGGTGTTAACTTAATTAGGTCAATATAACTTACCGTAAGACGATTTTCATCTACCAATAATTATGTGACTCATCCGTAAACTACAGATTTATCAACTCGGCTTTGAGTCCCATGATTTTGTGTGGGAACTACTGATGCCACTTGGTTGCCCAAATCAAAGTAGACAGTGAGGTATTCAAACCCGTAACTAATTATTTGAAATCCAAGTGTTTTAACCAACAAGTTATCAACCCAAGAGAAAAATTATACCTCGATACGTTTAGTTATTAATACTGGACTACCGTTGCCATAAAATTCACACTATGACTATCGCTGCCTGCGTTGTTACTACTCTTTATAGCAAAACATTAGTACATGACTAAATACAAAACAAGCACTCCAACAAGCTAACCATATCCTGGTATTGCAAGCCTGACTTGAAGTTGCTTCTAATGTCTACAGAAAACGTTTTATTTGGTAAACCAATCACAAACTAGGTCGCAGAATTCGAGTATATTACATATAGAAACAGAATAATATGAAGTCTTTTTATTTTGTAAGGTCATGTTAACGGTTTACAATTTTGATCAGAAAGCATTGAATAATCAGTTTGATAAACGTAAACAAATGGGATGATGGTTTTCATTCAGTCTGTTGAAATATGCTACCATTAGATGAATACTCTATAAGGACTAAAAGGAGATCGATTATCAAGAGCTCGGTTTTAGGCACCCGGGTGGTGTCCCAGCCCTCACACAAGTTGAATGATTTGGTGCCTCCTTGTACCAATGTTTATATTTAAATAAATAAAGAGTATTGAAAGCACAGGTTACGCAGTAATTGTAAAAATATTCAAGGAATCTAAACAAATTTGGAGATATAGTAAAGTACGAAATACACTATCACGACAAGGATAAATTTTGTGTGGCAACAAATAAATGAGTGGATAAATTATCTAATGACTGATGTTAGAAACATCCAAATTAATATGACTGATAAACTGATAGCTACTCCCTACCAAATGTATAGGTTAGCTTTGAGTACTTTGATAACAAATACCTCAGCAAAATGCTACAAAATCGCACTCCCTTGTTAATTAGTTATTTAAAATGACTTCAAAACGTACACAATAAACCAGCCATTAAGTAACGATTGTACAATCTCATTATAAAAAATTTCGACACCTTTAAGTCACAGCTTTTTAAATGGTTATCAGAAATATGAATCTGTTCCTACCGCCTACCTATTTTGTAGTTAATTGTTTAGGGAATTTGATCACCTTTAAATGTGAGTGACAAAACTCAAGTGCATTTGCACTGTATTATGCTTGACATGTTATTATTGTCGGATACTCATTTTCCTACACATATGTTTCAAGTTGTAAGTTTTGTCACGGAGCAGCTTTAAAACAAAACCAAGGTACTGTTTCATGCATTTTTATGATAAGATTTTCATCTATGATTTGTCTTTTTAATAATATCCACCAAAAAACAGAACTACAGAATATGAGTATGATGATGTCTCGCCTCTTAGACAAATGATTCAACAGAAGTACTCATTAACTGCCAGTAGTAAGTTGAATGAACAACAAAAGCGTAGGCATACAGATGGTGAAGAGAGGCATTCACAAACTAGTTGCCTATATGAAAGCAATTAAGTAGCTATCTCTATGCCACTAAAAGCACCAGAGACCAGTCCGACAGGCTACATTAGCTCTGCAAATAACGTGTATTGTTTTTTACTTGGTTGGTTAATGAATGTCATGTATAAAAAACACCTGAAATTTTATTTGCTATACTACAAAAAAGAACAAAATACAGTACAAGGAATACAAGATGAAAATTCAAACACATAAAATAAGATTTCTAGGAACGAAATTTAGAACAATAGAAAAAAACTGAAACACAAACATCTGTAGTGTGATGAGAATCAAATGAGAAGTACAAAGCCGCATATACTATTTAATAAATCGTCGTATTTGTGGTTCAAACAGTTGATATCAGACTTGATTGAAGTAACCCAAATAAAGGGGGATTGAAAACCGACGAGTGAGTATCTACCTCACAGTTAAATAACTTTACCAAATAATAAGTGGAATATTATTTACGGAGGATTATGTTTGATTGCCTATTTAAATTATTATAGGGTACAATTCCAAATAGGAGCATACACAATAAATTTAAAGAAAAATAATATGAAAAATACATTGCTTATCACTTACATTGTTGGTAGAGTCCATCGGCATATATATTTTAGCTTGTAGATTAACCTTAGGGCCATCGGGTTTTGGCAATTCCCTTTCTTTTATTGGACAGATACCGGATGTTGAAAACAATTCGCTCTGAACACGCAGTATTTCTTTTAAAAGAGATAAACTAGAATACAATTAGTACCTTCCCCCAAAAGTTTTTCAATATGAATGTATAAGCCAGGAGTGGCTAAGAGTTTCATGCGATCCAGAAATAGTTCTTTCAAGTAATCAAGTAACTGCTTCGTATTTTTTAATTCTGAGGCTTTGCCGGAGCACATTAGGATGCGAGGTAATTAGCTTATTGATTATTAGGTTAAAGAAGGGGTTAATTCATTCACAAAACATTTGAAAACTAGCAGTGCGTGAGCACGCTCGTGTTGGTGTTAGATTATAAGCAGATATTTAGAAGAGACATTTTAAACAGAAATGGGTAATCTGAAAGGTAAAAGACACAAAAACTGTGATAGACAGATGAAAACTCCATGATTTTTTATTGCCTAACTCTCAAGCATCATAGGTCTAGTATATCTCGATTAAACTAACTGCTATCCTCACCCATGTGAATTAGAAGTCACATTTAAAACAGGATGAACTGTGATATTTAACACAATGAACACAATAATGGACATATTTAAATCATTACGGTGTTAGAATAATGAGTTGTGAATCACAAGTGTAACCCATGATAATGAAGATAAACGACTATGATGATAGAATTACATTTAGTAAGGCTTTCAATTAGAACCCTTAATTTAGGAAATGAATTCCAGGAACTAAGAGAAATTGTGGATTCGATGAAGTCATAACAGTTGTCACAAATACGAGATATCTTTAAATTGAAAGATTCTAGGATAGTGCTGGGCTTTATTTAGTTTAAAACCTTTGAATGTGATCTCATACTTTTGGAACTTGCTAAGTTTTTAGTCGTGAGAAAAACCTGTCGTACTCAAACACATTTCGTCCTAAACAGTTGATAACAACATACAAAAATAAATTAAGAGCTGAAGTTCGCCTATTGTTTTTATCACAGAATGTTTTAATGGGGTCCACCTAAACCACTCAGAAGTTTGCCCAATGAGAGTTAATAACACACTGAACAATAAAATACTATTTTATATTTTGTTCAACCTCATCACAGATCTACTGCTGAAAATAACGTTCTCGTCGACTGAATTTCCAGGAATCGGTGTCCTACAAAGAGATCAGCTTATCGACTTCGAATATGCAGATGACATAGTTCTGTTTGGTGAAGACGCTGATAAAATGCAGTCATTTGGTAACACTGAGCAACAACACCAGGATTCTTGGGATGCGCATCTCACCCCTCTAAATCCAAGTTGTTGCTTCAGGACTGGCCTGCGTCAACAACTGAACTAAGGATAGAGAGTGAAGTAGTCGGACACGTCGACAACTTCACCACCTCGGAAGTCTCATCAACCCTATTGGGTTGGTGTTTGACGAAATCTCTGCACGGATTCAAAAAGCTCGTTTGGCTTTTGCCAACTTATCTCACCTATGGCGAAGGCGAGATACTCGTCTATCAATTAAGGGACGAGTATACAGTGCGGCAGTTTGTTCTGTTCCACTTTTTGGCTGCAAAACGTGGCCTTTAAGACTAGAAGATACTCGATCACAGATGTCTTAGAAATAGTGCTCGCATCTGGTGGGATCACCGGGTAAGTAATAGTGAGGTTAGACGCAGGGTATTAGGGAATGATGGTAAATCAGTTGATAAGGTTGTAAAACTTCATCGACTGTGTTGCGTATGCCTGAACACCAATTACCACGACGCGCAATGCTGACTAGTGTTGAAAACGAGTGGAAGAATGTTAGGGGCGGCCAAACAAAAACGTGGCGTCAGTCCATAAAGTCACTAACCTATGATATGAGCCATGTTGGTAGATGCAGACTACTTGGTTGAGGTCTGCGTGACTATCGTAACCAATGGTTGGAGACTTTATGTGACATAGCTCAGAATCGATCACAATGACGTCGGTGTGTACCCTCTTTGTTTTCCCTTAAACCGCGAGATTAAAATCGCTTCATATCTTTCTTTCTACGAACTAATTCTCTCTTCCTGCACTATATCCTTATACACAATCTTTCTTTGATAATATAACTGCTACTGAAGCAACTACGCCTATTAATCCGGTGTTCATCTTGTTGTAGTAATGATGTGTGGCAACTTGGACCAGTACGCATGTATGCCTGGTCCTACGTTGCAGCTGACTGACTGATTTTATATCCACGGCTCAATGGATTATGATTTAGATCCACGAATCATTTGTTGACAACGGATATCAAGCACTGAATCGATGCTGAGTGTTATTAGTTGAGTCTTCCCACAAATGATTTGGTATCTCCATAAAGCTTCAAATGCTCTTTTTAATTGAGTTTACGGTCAATGAATCTCAGCTAACCACCTAGGCGAATGTGCTCTGTACCTGAACACCCCAAGGCATTCAACCTGTTGTTGGGGGAACAACTTATGCTTTATGAGATGTATTAATGTCGTCCAGTTGACAGTAAACTCATTATTGATCGCGTTCGAGCTAGAGTGTGAAAACTTGAAAAACGTTTTTCCTACAAATCTGTTTTAACTGCAATTAAAGTCTCTACCCTAGTGTTATTCTAATAACACTGGAGTGCAAATGACTTGTAATACTCTGCTTCAGAGGAGTGTGACATCAGTACCAGCTAGGAAGAAAATGATAAAAAGGGTCGTCAATAAGCTCACAAGCAGAAAAGATGGCTTTTTGTGACTATTTAATGGAAATGCTCTCTACCTTAATTATACAATCACACCTAAGATATCACTCTCCGTATTTAGAAGACAAAAATTTAATTAATCCAGTACGGTATTTCTTTAGGGACTATTGAGTATGAGATAAGGTACTGGATACATGACGCAAGTGACAATTGCAAAAGTAACGAAATAGTGAAGTTAATATCGAATAAGAATTAATCAGTTAGTTGCAACAAATAGATCCACATCCGACCAATATGACGATATGAGTACCCAGATAAGTCGAACAATAGGTGATAGCACTGTGTAAAGCAAACAAATTCGTCCTTCGTCGTTGAGTAGAACTATATATAATGACAGTAGCAATTACTGACTTACGCCAGATTTTAGGTACAAAACTGACTTACTACAGCTTATCTAGGCGACTTGAGAATTTGGAAAATAATAAGGTAAACGTGGGTTCGCATAATATAAACTTGCAAAAATGGACACTAACTAAGCCAATAGAGTAGCTTACAACATTTTATTTACTGCGGTTGCACGCAGAGTAGCGTGCACTGGATAGTGCCCTGGCCCTCACACAAATTCAGTGGTTTATGTGACGCATATATATTTGGTGCCTTCTTGTACTAACGTTTATGTGTTTAAGTAAATAAGTAAATAAGAGTAGCGTTAGAGGGCTGGGAAAGAGATAGACTAGTAAGATAAGTCGACGACCTAGCAAGAGCACAGGGTGAACTTACACTTAACAAGTAAAGCAATCGACAATAATCTGTAGTAACAAAAGCCTCAGACTCAAATGATCTTAAAACCCGGACTAAAACCAGACAATCCAACCCGCTACAACGGGAGCGCCAGAAATTACCGCTCATTTAGTGATTTCAAGGACTTTTTGTGTCCCATATGCAAAATTTCATATCTTTACAACCAGTCAGCATAGGTGCTTGCTTCTCGGTGCCAACAGTTCTAAGCACTAATGACAGAAAACGAAGAGGTTTGTACAGGTCCTTAAAAAAGTGAAGAATTATTTAAGAGATTTTCACTAAAATGACATCTTAAGGTATTATATATACCAAATGTCCTGATGAATAATTATGAAAGCAGACCGTTTCGCTTTTATTTCAGTTTTATTGGTTTCTAAAATTAATGGTAACTCTTCTGATTTCACTGAACACTAATCTAGACCAAGGAATTGTAGCGCTAAATAAATCCCCAAAATAAATAGCTCTGTAAGTTTTCGACATTGGATGCTGACCATATGTTTTAGTGGACTCATCTAGCTGAAGACACTCGGTCATGCATCCGCACCAGATCACGTGTGGTAACGCTATGCTCAACCTCTTCCGCAATCGCTAGCCAGATTAGATCAGAGAATTCCGATATATTGGTAATCGCCAAATACACTCTTCCGATCTCCTCGACTCTGTCTTTTGATTTCTCTGGGTGGGAACGAAATATATTAGGTGTTACTGGTAAAAGCGTTGTCAAACACTGAATACCTGTGACATCATCATTGGTGAGACCGACGTGATCTGGTACACCTAATTGCAACTGTGAGTCTGTTCCTTTTGGTGATTTTTATATATTATTGTCTTATTTTTATTTTTTATATATTGTGATATTTTTCCCCGTGTCTCAGGATATCTATATATTTTTCCCTCGTATTCTCGTACTTAATATTCCCCTATGACCGAACAGACTCCTAAGGTATTTAAGATTAAGACCATGTCCCCACCCTCGTTCCAACTCATGCCCTTCTGGCCCGACAATATCGAAGCCTGGTTCTGCTACACAGAAGACAACTTCTCCGAGCACGGCGTGAACGACACACGTGCACAATGCCTCGCAGTAGTCAAGGCACTACCGCGCGAATTCAACAGGTACGTAACACCTAGTATGTTTAGTAGTAACCTTTCTGACCCGTAAGAAACCTTAAAGCGTTCGATTCTTAAACGAGAAGACCTAACCGATCGACATAGGTTAGATCAACTCTTCAATAACATCGACCTGCAACACGGTTCTGCGACGGACATGTTGCGACGGATGAGAGAGGTGATAGGCCCAAGAACTTTCGACGGAGGTATTTTCAGTCAACTAAAAGCCTCAAACGACTCAGAATGACATAACCGAGTTATGTCATACACTCACGCGTTATCTTAATCTTCGTACCGACCGTAAGAGATCGCGCACTCCACGTATAAGCATTTCACGTAAACGATCTGTCTCTAGTCCACGAGAGACGGATAACCCCGACTGGTGCTGGTATCATAACCAGTATGGAAAGTCTTCCAGGAATTGCGGAAAACCCCGCAATTTTCCCAACTCAAAACCGACTGACATGAAAAACAACTCGGGAAACTTCCAAGCCGGCACGCGTTAACGGCAACCGTAGCCGGCGAACATAGCCGTCTAATGTACGTCGCAGATGTGACAACGAGAGTTCGCTACCTCGTTGACACTGGCGCAGAAGTTAATAATAATAATAATAATAATTTATTCTCAAATAACAATTTGTTACATGAGGCATGCCAG